ATTCCTGCTCTCACTGCACCCCCTGGTGGTAGATGATTTCAGACACCAGAATTGCTCAACGCTTCCTTTATGCTATAGCTAGATGAAGAGGAATGGGCCAGTTCTCAACTCCTCCGCTAAAGGGGGCTTCTGAAGCTACAAACTGAGGGGTCCCAGCATTCTTCCTTTCAAGGCAGTTTGGTGTATCATGTCAAACCCCCACTAGATTTATATTACTCTCTTATGGGTGGATATTTGAATCCTTTCTTTTGACATTGGAGATTATTTAAGAAACCTCAGGATACTTTTTGGGAGGTCTAAGCTTGAAAACACTCAAACCGCCTATGTTCTAAGTCACAGGAGTAATGGAAGCAGCAGTGTGTGAGTCTGAAGGCTGACCTATTATCTTCTCAGGTAGAGGCTGCTAAGGACTGAAAGAGCATTCCTTCTAGCTGCTCAGGCCTGCACTCACAGCAGTCATGTGCTACCAAGTTGCCCAAGGGGATGCTGACTGGTGTTGCAGGTAGAGTAGCATGTGAAACCTAGGTCTGATACACGATTATCCCCAGATTTACAGCTCATCTCGGGCACAGAAATGCTCAGTCCCATCCATCCCAGGGCCTGGCTCACCTAGGCCCAAGCAGAAATGTAAGCCCTTCCATCTCAATTCCACAGAGACTGAAAAGTAATCCCATCTCTGTAAGAAAAGATATATAAGAGAAAAATGAGGGACTGCTGACTTCAAAGAAAAGCACAGATTTGCCCTCTGATGCTCGAGTCATTATATTATCCTCCTGACTCATCCCAAAGCCTAGGGTAATAGCAAGCATGGACCAGGTGGGTATAGGGTAGAGATACTTTCAGAATGCAAGGGGCCAGCAAGGCACAGCTCACTCACCCATCTTCGATCAACATAGGTGTGCCCAATGGCTCCAGGTCCTCGGCAGATACCAGCTGGTGAATCAGACTGTAAGACTGAGGATCCAGACTGCGAGCTTGTGGGGGCAGAAGTGGCGAGTGACCAGAATAGCTAAAAAGGTGCGGTATATACTGATAATGAGGAGGCACAGACATCCCCATGTACTGATCCCTGAAGGCCATGAATCCATTTAGTTCCACAGACCTACTGGAGAGAAAGGTCTCAGGTCAAGCAGAGCCATGACAGGGCTGGCTGGCGCCTACCCCAAGGAAATGAGTGGGAAGTGGCTTAGGTATTTTTTTGGTGTGAAGTCTGTGTTTTCATTGAACCAGCAGACATAACTAGTGGTTACATGGACATCTCTCCTCCTACAGGTCCACTGGTGAGACAAGAAGTCTGTGTCGGCTTAAGTGTGGGTTCACTACCGGAAACCCAGCACCGGCACAGGAGGTACTGAATACTGGTTGAATGAACTCTTTGTACAGGTGCCATGTCTGTACAGTTTTTGGTGGACATTGAGAGATGACAAGAGTGGATTTTTGTTATTACTTTACTGGTAGGAAAACTAAGGCATGAAGTGCCTTGCCCAATCACAAAACAAATCTAGTACCTTGTAAGGAACCTGGTGAGTGGCAATAACCCCCCCAAATACTCAAAGGAAGGCACAAACTAAGGAACAACTGAATGAAATAAAAGCTTTAATTAAATGTGAAGGGAAAAGCATATTTTTAACTTTCTCATCTTTCTTGGAAAAATTACTTACTTTCACAAAAATTCTCTAGCTTTGGGCCAGCAGGTGGTATGGTGGTAAAAGGAGCTGGATCCCACACAGCTGACTGCACAGTTTGGGGTATGGTTCCGGTTCCAGACTCGATGGCTTGAAAAACACTGGGCATATGTGCACCCACACTCAAAATCCCAAAAGGAGGGAGAAATGGAGAAGGAACTGTAGCGTGACCATTCCCCATGTTTTCTCACTTTCCCCTTCTCTCTTATTCTCTCTAGTGAGTGCACATGCCCTCCGGCAGAATAAATTTTAATAAATTCTCCAGCTTTTGCCCAAATGTATCTCCTATAAATAGATCCTGCAAGCCAACTCCAGCCAACACCTGCTCTGGTAAATAACGTTTTATAAAACCAGCCACAATCACTCTTACATAATATGGCCGCCTTCACACTTTAATTTTTTTTTTTTTTTCTGAGAGGTTTTTCCTATAGGGTGTGTGCACTTGCCAGAAAGACAAAGACAGACAGAGAGACAGAAAGGGAGAAATCACCCCCCTCAGGGGGGATGGCCACGCCGCAATCTCTTCCCCTCCAGTCTCCTCTCAGGATCTCGGGCACGCACGCACATGCACCCAGTGTAAGTTTAAGCCACTGGGTCCGGGACTAGAACCGTGATCAACTACATGGGAGTCCAGCGACATAGCCATTATGCCAACTGCTGGTCCCTGCCTTCACACTTTAAAGGCAGAGTTGGAGAGTTGAGAAGCAGACCATTAGGTCTCTAAAGTTTAAAATATTTACTATTTAGCCTTCACAAAAAGTCTCTTAACCCCTGTCCTATAAGAAACTTTCCTGGGGAAAGGAAGCCTTCCCTGGTAGCTGACATTTCTAGTTCACACCTAACCACTAACTTGAAATACTGTGCTTGAACCAAGAGTCTCTAAATGTGTATTCTCTGACAGCAACAATTTTGACTGATTTAAAAAATCTTTACTGAACATTTATAAAGTGAAAAACATTCACTCTTGCAAGGCAGAGAAATTATAACTTAATTCAATAATGTCAATGTGGTTTGTTTCATTTCAGTGATTAAATAAATAAATGAGGGAAAAGAGCCACATTTAAAATGTTACTCTGTTAGGTGAAGAATGTGAGGAACTGGGTAGAAGCTGGAGAAGCCACTACTGACATTTTTAAGGTCTTTAGCATGAAATGGGCAGGGAACACTGCTCTGTATGGTCCTGGCTCTTACTCCAAGAACCTGAGGGAGCGAGAGCACAGGGGCTAAGAGCTTGGCAGGAATAATGGGTCCAGTTCTTTGGGGTCTACTCTTTGGGTGGGGCCTGAGATGATCGTATTAGATTTGCCTTAAAGCTCACCTGGAGGACAGTGTGGAGCCTGGTGAGGGCTGGTTGCTCTCTGAAGCCCTGTTCCCAGGGGAACTGTGGTCGCTGTCACCATGGTTGCTCCAGTGATTGGCCTCTTCCTCAAACTCCTGCCCAGACATGATCCTTTCAATCTCTTCTTCTGATATCTTTGATGAGGAATTGATACATGTTAGGTAGGGTGCTCAGGACAGCTTCTGCGCCTTCTTCAGGACTAAGAGCTTATTTAAATCTCACCGGGTTCACAGAATCTGCAGAGAGAAACCCAGTTTCCCTCTCTTCCACTCCCATCCTCTAGGTCCCTCACTACTCTCAGCAGCTTGGCTGCTGGACTCTCAACACATGGCCTTTGATGGCCTTCCTCGTGCCCATTTGCCTCTAGGTTCTTTAACACTCCTCTTGGTCTTTGAATTTATTCTTTTTTCTCCCCCAAATACCAATCTTCAATGACAGTCTCCTACTTGTCCTTCAAGACCCATTCTGCTGTGTCCTCCTTTGTGAAGCTTTCTACCACTACCCGGAAAGAATTTTAGGTCTTAAAAAAAAAAAAAAGAATTATTTTATTTTTTAACATACATTTCTTTATTTTAATTTGACCAGAGAGGGACATAGAGAGAGAGGGGGAAAGTGACAAAGCAAACTGTCAGTTCTGTGACTCGAACCATGTTTGGCTATGTGGGAGTCCATCCAATGCCCTTAACCACCACGCCATCTGCTGGCCCCAAGTCTTTCTTCTATCTACGCATATTCTAGGAGAGGTAGAACAGCACAGCCATGGAGGGTGTGAATTCTAGTCAGATCACCATTATTCAAATCCAGGTTCTGTCACTGCTAGCTGTACAATCTTGGGAAAGCTATGTAATTATTTGAACCTAAGTTCCATCATTTGTGTGGTACAGAGAATAAGAGTACCTACCTCGTAGGATTCTTGTGAGGACTAAATTAGTTAACATAAATTCAATATTTAGAGGGACCAGCAGATGGTGTAATGATTTCATCACTGGACTCACACATAGTCAACTGTGGTTTGAGTTCCGGACCCCCCAAGTGGCTTAAAGCTCACACCAGGTGCATGTGTGTGCATACCCCAAATCCCCAAAGGAGAATAGAGGAGAAGGGATTGTGGCATGGCCATTCCCCCAAGGGATGATTTCTCACTTTCTGTTTCTGTGGAGAGTGCATGTGCCCTATGACAAAAATTTCTCTTTTTAAAGATTAGAACATTTTTATAAAGCATTATTTTATTTAACTTTATTTATCCATTTATTTTAATTTGACCAGAGAGAAAGAGAGAGAAAGGGAAAGTGAGAAAGCGAGCTGCCAGGTCCAGGGCTTGAACTGCAGTTGGCTATGTAGGAGTCAAGTACCCTAACCACCCACACCACTTGATGGCCCCAGCAAAAATCTCTCTCTCTAAAAAAAAAAAAAACTTAGAAAAGGGCACACAGTGGGTCTGACAGATGGTGTAATGGTTACGTTGCTGAACTCCTGCATAGAAGACTGCGGTTCAAGTCCTGGACCCAGTGGCTTAAAACTCACGCCAGGTGCTTGTGTATGTGTGCTCAAAATCCTGAGAGAAGAATGGAGGAGAAGGGAAAATCACCCGGGTGGGTGATTTTTCACTTTCTCCCTCTCTGTTTCTCTGTCTATATGCCCTATATGCTATATGCCCTATAGCAAAATCTCTCTTTCTTAAAAAAAAAGGGGGCACACAGCAACAGTTATGGAAAAGGCTGCTGTACCATTATTACATCATAGTTATTTTTATATTACTTATGATAACATATCATAAAAATACACTCTACAAGACCTATACCCATAGTAGGACCTAAGAAAGAATAAGTATTTAGTAGATGCATGTTGAATAAATGGACAGTGTTCATTTATTAAGTATCAGCCATGGACCTTTGATTTCATTTGTCTTTTTTAAGTAAAAAAGACAGTCCTAAACTTACTAAATAAACTGAAGCCTACAGGGAGGCCAGCAGGTGGTGTGGTGGTTAAGGTGCTGGTCTCCCATATGGCCAACCACGGTTTGAGTCCCAGACCTGGTGGCTTACTTTCTCACTTTCCCATTCTCTCACGCTCTGTCTCTTTGGTAAAAATTTTTAAAAGCAATAATAAAGAAAAATAAAGAACTAATTAAAAAAAAATGAAGCCTACATAAGTGAATTGACTTGCCCAAAATCACACTATGTACCCACATGTGGACAGGAGTTTGAGGAAGAAATCAAAGTATCCAAGTATCCGCGTCCAAGGCTCTGACTATTATTCCATCTATGGAGTGGAAAAACTTTTTCTATAAAGTGTCTAACCTAGAACTGAAGCCTAACTGACTACACTCTGCACCCAGAATGAGAATGACTGCTAAGGTTCGGGGTCAGATGCATTATTATTTGTTGTTCCTATGGAAACCTGAGAGAATCTTTTTCTCAAGTCTTTCTGACTCAAACCTGCTTACTTCTTTGCTCCTGTAGCAGCCTGTGAGGCAACCCTGAGCTGCTCAATCAAAAATACAGTAGCATTTGGAACTAGAAGCCAGATAACACATAGGACTTGGAGGAGAAATGAGAAACACTTAAATGGTGCACAAGTTGCTTGGCTGGTCTGAAATGGCTTGAATTAACTTAGTATAGTAATACTTACTATCTAGCCTTTACAGAAAAGTTTGTTAACCCCTATCCTATAAGGAATGTTCCTGGGACCAGAAGATGGTGTAATGGTTATGGCTGGATTCCCACAGTCAACCACGGTTTGAATCCTGGTCCTGGGAGCTTACAACTCATTCCAGGTGTGTGAGTGTGTGCCCAAAATCCTGAGAGGAGAAGGGCTTAAAGCAAGGCCATCCCCTCTGGGGAGTGGTAGTAATTTCTCACTTTCTGTCTCTCTGGGGAGCACCCTATAGCAAGTATCTCTCCTGGGGAAAAGTTCCTGGGGAAAGGACACATTCCTGGGGAAAGGAAATCTTCCCTGGTGGCTCATATCTCTCGTTCACACCCAACCACTACATTAAAATACAATGCAGGTGTCTGGCTCCCGCTCTCACAGCCACTGCAGTATATTGAACTCCACAGAGACAGCGCCGGGGCAAGTGAGAGCCAGACGGGCACTGGGCAACTCTGCGCCTCGTGGAGGAAAGCCTAAACATGGGCAAAGAATACCCTAAGAAGCCGAGAGGCAAAATGTCATCATACGCATTCTTTGTACAAATTTGCCGGGAGGAGCACAAGAAGAAGCATCCAGATGTTTCAGTCAACTTCTCAGAGTTTTCTAAGTGCTCAGAGAGGTGTAAGGCCATGTCTACTAAAGAGAAAGGAAAGTTTGAAGATATGGTCAAGGTGGACAAGGCCCGTTATGAAAGAGAAATGAAACCTGTATCCTTCCTAAAGGGGAAACAAAAAAGAAGTTCAAGGATCCCAATGCACCCAAGAGGCCTCCGTTGGCCTTTTTCTTGTTCTGTTCTGAGTATCGCCCCAAAATCATTCAATTGGTGGTGTTGCAAAGGAACTAGGAGAGATGTGGAATAACACTGCTGCAGATGATAAACAGCCTTATGAAAAGAAGGCTGCTAAGCTGAAGGAAAAATGCAAAAAGGTTATTGCTGCATACTGAGCTAAAGGAAAGCAAAACTGGGAGTTGTCAAGGCTGAAAAGAGCAAGAAAAAGAAGGGGGAGGAAGATGAGGAAGAAGAGGAAGATGAAGATGATGATGAGTAAGTTGGTTCTAGCGCAGGTTTTTTTTTCCTTGTCTATAAAGTATTTAACCCCCTGTACACAACTTACTCCTTTAAAAGAAAAAAAATTGAAATGTAAGGCTGTGTAAGGTTTGTTTTTAAACTGTAAGGTGTCTTTTTTTGTATGGTTAACATACTACCAAATGTGTCTTTAGATAGCTCTGTCCTGGTGGTATTTTCAATAGCCACTAACCTTGCCTGGTACAGTATGGGGGTTGTAAATTGGCATGGAAATTTAAAGCAGGCTCTTGTTGGTGCACAGCACAAATTAGTTATATATGGGGATGGCAGTTTTTTTCATCTTCAGTTGTCTCTGATGCAGCTTATACAAAATAATTGTTCTGTTAACTGAATACCACTTCGTAATTGCAAAAATAAAAAAGGTGCAGCTGTTTTGTTGACATTCTGAATGCTTCTAAGTAAATACAATTTTATTAGTAAAAAAAATACTATGCATATTAAATAGGAGTGGTTTTTTGTTTGTTTTGCCTTCATCTGTCTCTCCCTGTGGAGCCTATGGAACACTGGGCCATCACGGATGCAATGAACAGGGGACAGAACATACTGGGAGTGCCTGAACCTGGGTTCAGATCTCATTTGTCATATCCTAGCCAAGTGTCCTCAAATGCTCTGTGCTTCAGCCCTCTCATTTGTAAAATTCCTTTGTAGTTCACAGTTCCCTCACAAGATGCTAAAGTATGCAGGGTTGAGCTGGACACACCTGGAAGATTAAGCTATGAAAAAAAGTTATGAAGGTGCACAAAAGGTACCCAATAAATGAAAATGCTACCCTTCCTAGTTTTTATTATTAAAAAAAAACACGAAACACCATTAACAACTTGTATATCACAGAACTCTGTCTAAGGGACCACCAGTTAGCGTAATGGCTATGTCGCTGGCCTCCCACGTAGTCGACTGTGGTTTGAGTCCCGGACCCGGTGGCTTAAACTCACTCCGGGCGCGTGTGCATGCGTGCCCAAGATCCTGAGAGGAGAATGGAGGAGAAAGGATTGCGGCGTGGCTAACCCCCCTTGGGGGGGATTTCTTGCTTTCTGTCTCTCTGTCTCTGTCTTTCTGGCGAGCGCATGCGTCCTATAGCAAAAACCTCTCCAAAAATAAAAAAAAGAACTCTGTCTAATATACCATCTCTACAGTTAAAGACTAAAAGGATATGCCTAGTATCAAAAAGTCAAACGCAGTGGGAACCAGCAGTTAGCGTGATGGCTATGTCGCTGGACTCCCACGTAGTCGACCGCGGTTCGCATCCTGGACTCGGTGGCTTAAAACTCACGCTGGGTGTGTGTGCGTGCGTGCCCAAGATCCTGAGAGGAGAATGGAGGAGAAGGGATTGCGGCGTGACCATCCCCTCTGGGGGGCGATTTCTCGCTTTCTGTCTGTCTGGCGAGCGCACGTGCC